GATCGAGTCCCACATCGGGCTCCCTGCTCAGCAGGGAGTCTGCTTCTCCCTCTGACCCTCCCCCCTCTCATGCTCTCTCTCTCTCATTCTCTCTCTTTCAAATAAATAAATAAATAAAATCTTTTTAAAAAAAAAGTGAGTGAGAAACTCATAACCAGGTTCTTGCTATTCACAATGTTTCCATTGGGTGTAGCTATGATATTAGACAGGTTGATATCACAGTCTGTGTATTCAGGAAGAATGCCCAGACGTTTGGGGATTTGTAGTGACTTTCTTTGTCTTTAGCATTAAATTGTATTAGTCAGCTATGTTCTATGGCGAAAACCAAATAGTACAGCTTCAAATCAATCAAGTCAAGAAGGATTTCAATGACTTTTTCTGAAAATGAAGAAACCTAAAAAAAACCCTGAGATGTATTATAACTTTAATCAACAAAAATTTCTACATAATTTGCTCATTCTTTTTTTTTTTTTTTTTATGTAACCATCTAATTCACACCTAGTTTGAATGCCTTCTAGATAGGCATCCGTTGGATAAAATGGGACAAATAAGGGGAGAATCCTCTAATAATGCAACCCCTTTATTCAATGATAGGTCTGAGCAGAGTATCTTAAAGTGTCTTTTATGCTAAAAGAAAAAAAAAATAAGTATTTTTCCTAAAATTCAAGGGCAGCTTACATGCTGAGATGAAAACTGCTAACTCTTTCCTTAACAACACCATATGTCTCCAATTGGATCATAATGCAGTCGGTTCTCAAGGGAACGTTATGCATGGAAGCTAACCAAATCGAGACACAGGCGTCAATGTGTGCGCACTCTCTGATTAACCAGGAGATGCTGCTTTGGATTTTCCAGATCATCTAAGTGAGCATCTGAAGGGCCCTTCTCCTTTCCCGACACCTCCCCAAATGAACCGAGGCCTAAAAGGACCCTGACCCTTTTACAATAATATTTCTCTTTTTGTTCAGATTTCCTCTTCTATGTAGCCTCAATACATTTTAAGGAACTGAAATATTTAACCCCTGAACTCTCTAACCATGTGTTTTAAATAGCAGACACATTACATAGCAAACACTATATTAGTCCAGCTTAAAAAAATCAAAAGGAAAATATCAGAAGACTGAAGAAGTCACATTTGTCCCCTGAGAATCACCAAAAACGAAAAAGCAACCAATAAACCAATACGGATTAGTCAGACATTTCTTTATCCACTCATTATAATTCTTCCTTTTTAGCACTTCACTCCATCTTGAGTATTTTTATGCATGAGTAAGATATATTTTTTAATCTACTCACTTAATATTAAACACTTGCCATATATACTGCTACCAGATTAATAGCAAGTTGAGGTATTGCAGCTGAAGTCCAGACACATGAGACATATTCAGTTCCTTATGTTGAATGTAATTTTTAATAGCAGAAAGTTATATCAACTTATGATGTGTATAAAAGTTTAAGGATTTTGCCTTGGGAAATGTGAAATGGGACAGTCAAGATTGGTGCTTCTCAAACTATCTCCGATGAGTGGACAGTTCACAAAAAAAAAATCAGTATGTCAGTAACTGATATTTTTTTAAAAATATGAAATTATGCATTCAGATTTCATGGCAATGTCAAATTGCTATAAAATTTCTAAATGCAAAAAAAAAAAAAAAAAAAAACAACACCCAAAAAGCATTTCTAAATGCTTCCTCTCATGCTCTGTCCCCTTCTTGTGATGGACTGATAAAAAATGTTTGGAAACTGGCATCAATCAGTGTACTTCACTGTGACTATCACTGTTTAGATAGATACATTATAAAATAGAAACAGGAGTCATGAGCTTCCTTCACTTGAAGTGCATTTTAAACTATTCTTTGCTGTTTCTCTTCCAATTCACTTCAGACAATCAGCAGCAGAGAGTCAAAAGAAAGGCCAAAGAAGAATCACCAAGAAGCTTTTGGTAGTTTTGAGAAAGATAAGTTGCTACTTACTATTTAAAAACACACAATTACAAAAGTAACCTTTTCATTCCCAGTGACCAACCAAGGGCTTTACCGTGTACTCATTTTAATAATAGCAATCAGCCTAGACACAAATGAATGATTATTTAATGGTATTCCTTACCTGGGATGCCTGGTGGTGTTTTCAGATATTTTCCATTAAAATGTTGAATTACCACTTCACATTTTTCAGTAGACTCCATTCTGGAAAAAGAGGTAAACAGGGGATCATATACTTTCTTAAGGTTGTGTATATTCAGGAAAAGTAAATAAAAATGAAAACGAAAATAGAAAAGCCATGGAAAAGCTTGATTTGAGAATTCTACGAGACTTGTCAACTGTTGCCATGACCACCATGATCAAACTATCACAAACTCACCATTGCTGAGAGTAGGTATTTATTTACTGCATTGAAAGTTGCCTATGTGGGGACGGCTCTATGCTGATTCCTCTCCCAGAAGTAATACTGAGGCATCATCTTACTTAATCCACAAAACACTGTCTGGCAGTTGAAAGTGCTCCATAAATACCTGTTGCATGTCTGAATTAGCAAACCTGAAAGGTAGGTCTTGTTGCCCTTTCCATCGAAGGCTCTGAGGCTTACACAGACGAACGACCTTGGCAATGAGTGGCGGAGTTGAGATTTTAACTAAGGCTTGTCTAACACCAAAGCAGAACTATAACTACTAAGCTATTGGGCTGAGGGACTCCACAAAACAAGCTGAGGAGATGTGCTGTTATTTCCACTCTGTGTCGTCTAACGTGATGATTAATATAGTAGCGTTGTCACCAACACCTTGACATTTTTATTGAAAACCCACTGGGTGAAAGTACAAAAGAGAATTATTTGGGGTCCCAAATGTGTCCTCAGAGTCCTCAGAGAACATAAATACATAAACCTCAACTCCTGAACTTTCTTCACTTTGAATTTTGGAAATCCTCTCTTTTTTCACACTAGATATCCATATTCCTAAACTAGGTTTCTTGGGTCAAATTTTGGCATCTCACTTGCAAGCTAATGAATGAACATTTTGAACTATACCATCATAATGTCAATATTGGCAGTGTTACCCTATCCTAAGTAGACTAGTATTGGCAACATTTTCTAAATAATTAACTATAGCAGGGCTTTATTTTATAACATTGGATGGGGAAGATAAAAATTAAAGGGCTGATTCTGATGAAAGGAAATTAAGTCCCCCAAACAGTACACTAGAGGCAAATACAAATTTAAAAAACAGCCCACACACATATGAAAGAATGTGTATGAAACGTGTGAAATTTGTCTAAAAGGCAAAATATAATTTTGGATTTTCTGCTGTGTTATTAATATGAGCTGTCTTGGAATGGAGCTTTTTAACTCAAGTTATAAAACTTCCCTACACCTAAATCTTAAGTGTGTTTTCAGGAGCCTATTACATGCACAGGAAATAAGATAAGGGAAAATATGTAAACAAACACCAAATAGGTTACACATTTATTACAGCTACAGGAATTCAAATGTGAGAGGAATTCCAGAAACCAGGGAAACACTGAGAAGTGGGCACAGGAGGCCATAAGGGCCCTTAGAGAAGTCATTAGGGCAGGGAGCTGACCAGGCCCTGTGTCCTTTTAGAGGGGGTGAGGTGAGCAGAACACTGTGCCTTGGGTGCCTGGGTGGCTCAGTCGTTAAGCGTCTGCCTTCGGCTCAGGTCATGGTCCCGGAGTCCTGGGATCGAGTCCCACATCGAGCTCCCTGCTCAGCAGGAAGCCTGCTTCTCCCTCTCCCATTCCCCCTGCTTGTGTTCCTGCTCTAGCTATCTCTGTCTCTGTCAAATAAATAAATAAAATCTTAAAAAAAAAAAACAACCAAAAAACACTGTGCCTGTGTGGGAGGTTCACAGGGGTTTGGGGTACTCTTGAAGATAAGCTGAGAGATGCAGACAAGGGTACCTGAATTATCAGGTTAAGAAATTCTAGATGGTATCAGAAGCATATTCCAATGGGGGGGGCTGTCATTATTTTCTGACTCAATTTTTTTTTTAAAAAGGGTCTTTTCTGATGTATATTCCTATGAGGCATGGGATGCAGGCACATCTTTCTGTATAGAGACACATATAAATGGCAAATCTCTACCTACCAAGCAAAACTGACTTCCCTGGCATGAGACCAATGCAGAAGGACAGAGCCACAGACTTAGAATAAGTCTGTACTTGGCTCAAAACTCTGCTGGCACCATCTTGAAATTCTTAATGATTTTCTAATAAGGGTCCTGCATTTTTATCTTCCACTGGGTCCCACAAATTATGTCACTGGTCCTGCTATGACAAGAAAGTGCAGGAAACCAATAGGTTATTATTCATTTATCAAATGGCCCAGTGGATCCACATAGGTGTTATTTTGAAAAACATGTAAAGAATGAATCAATTTTATATCCAAATGTGGGGGAAAAAAACAACTAAACCTCTTTAAGCTTAATAACATACAATTTTGATAAATAAAAATAAAAACAAAGAGAGCATTTTGTTCACTGCTTAATCACAAGTTCCTCCAAGTCAGAAGATATTTGGGTTAGAAAGGCAAGATGAATCTTTCTCCATTACAAATATTTAGGAATAGCTAAGTACACTTTTCCTAACTCCTTCAAGTTTTTCTTTCCGTGGAATCCTTTACAGTAAATCTTCCAACCTGTTATTATTATTTTTTTTTTTTTTTTGAAGTACGAAACTTGCATTTCTAGGAACAAAAGAATTCTAATTCTGTTCTCTGTCTTCCCACAGGATCTACTATCTATCGTCTCTTAGGGACATTAACTTTCCTTCCTACCAGAGACATGAATGGGAGAGGAAATGTAAGCCCTTAATTACTACAGATGTTACTTTATGGAATTTTTATTCCAGGAGAGCTACAGAATGAAAAGCTTATGCCCCAGAGCCCCCCTCCTTGTTCAATCTCTCTCTGGATACTCATCTAGATAAAAGGCAGTTAAGAATCTAAAGCTTGCTTGCAAGAGTCCTACAAATCAAATCCTTTCTCTTTGTCTTAAAATGACATGGAATTCTAAATGAAGACTAAAACTAGACTGGGGTGTGTGTGTGTGTGTGTGTGTGTGCACGTGCTTGTTGATTCTATATGTGTTTTAGGAAATACAGAAGAAGCTAAAGTAGGAAATCAGGTGGTTCACCAACTCTACCCACCTAAAATTTTTTTGCTCTGGATTGAAAGCCTTAAGTCTTTCCTTTTGGATTCTAAGTATGATCATCTTTTCTTAAGACTATTTTACATCCATATCAAGCCGGATGGGGGCTGTTTCTAGGAACATAAAGAGAGCAGCATAGATTGTTCACTGTGGCTTCATTCAGATTTAACTAAGTGAAAGTCTGCATTGAGCCTTTAGAGACTCTCCTCCCTGAAAGAATAAATGCAATAAAAGTCTGTTTTCTGTAGCTGCTGGTGCTTAGTGTCAAACCATGTTAGGCTGCACCACCCAGCAGTGACAATTTCATTCTAATACACGGGGCACATTTTAACAAGGCAAAGCAGTCCCAGCAAAGACAGTGATATAGGAGCCACCAAGGAAGGGCTCAGGGTTCCTCATGTATTTTATGTGGAAACCGAACAAAAGTGAGACTGGAGCTCTGGGGCGGGGTGGGGGTGGGGGGTGGAGAGAGACTGCATGTGAATAGCCACCTTAGGAAGAATGTGCCCATTCTCTTCTCAAGTTTCACAATTAACTGCTTTGAAATGCCAGCTCAAGCTATCTGCAATCTGGCCCACGCTTCAGTTGAAACTGACACTAGCATTATCAAGTGAGTCTGAAAAGGCAGCATGCCAGACAAAGCTGCCTTTACATGTCCCTTTCAGACGGGCCACTGAATCACTACTACAACCACATCTCTTCTTCCCAGGCGGTACCTGAACCCCCTCTAGTACCTCGGGACAGCTCGCGTGCCAGGCCAACCATTCACCCGAAGATACATTAATTAGGTTCTTACAAGGCTCCAATCATTGTATAAAGCTTCAGGGTTTTCTGTTAGGTCTGATGTTTAAATATAAATACACATTAAAGGTCCCGTTTGACATTCTTTCTTGTCTCAGTGCCTAGGAACCTGGCTTCAGTCATTCAAAACAAACCACAGAATTGTGATTTAAAAAAAAATTTTTTTTATACCAGTTACTAAGGGGAGCCGGTTTCACAGCCAATACAATTCCCACAGGCAAGTTACATCAGAGGAGAGTTTGATCCAATATTAGTAGAATGTTCTGGGTCAGACTTGACACACAGATGTGGAAAAGGATTTTGCAAAACCATCTGCAGCCTCCCTATCTCAGCTCAAGAGAGGATCTCTCAGTTTATGATCTTAAAGCAATAAGCATTATTAACCATATATGTAAAACAAATCCACCCTGCCACTTATTTTGGTTAATTAGAGGTTTCCGCTATTGTGAAATTTTTGTGGTTTTGCAATCATAGGCTTTGTACAAATTATTGGCAACTTAGAATATCCAACGTTGCAAGCCAGTCTTCCATCTAAATCTGGTTAGAGTTACGCAAAGGGACAACATTAACAGATTTTTAAAAGTACTAAAATGTGCACTCCTTCTGAGGTTTCAAAAATAAATTCCATCATTCACTTCTTACTCTATCGTAATGGAAAGCACAGCAGTCGAGTCCCAGGAACAAAGATGAGTAAATGAGTTGAATTTTCTTCTGAGTCTTTAATATTTGTTTTCTATCTGCCGGGTGCTTGACATTTTTAGGATATAACAAGTATCATAAACGCCAAATATTGAAGCAGAGCTGCCTCTCTGCCATCTACCTTTGCCAAAACCCAGACATTTGGGTGGTGTCTTACTCGGCATTACAACACATTCCTCTTTAGGAAATGAAACTGTGGACAATATTTAACTAATTAAAACCCACTCCAGAGTTTTAGAATCACATAATTTCAGGACTAGAAATAGCCCCAGATATCAACTTCTAAATTGTACAGATGAAGAAACTAACACTAGTTGCCTTCCCTAGAGACTAGTTAGTGGATGAACCTGGAATAGAACCTTTGTCTCTTGACTCTCAGTTCAGATGGTTTACCTGTAAGAGATGAAGTACCATTGCTGGCCTCCCATCATCCCTCCTGATTCCCTGTACTCTGTCTACTTTAATGTGTTCTGATGCTGGATAGATCATGCTACCTTCATTCTAGTTCAATCTCTGTTAACTGGAG